TATCTATATATCTATATATCTATATATCTATATATCTATATATCTATGTATCTATCTTGTATCTACTATTGAGTATCTAGTATCCACACAGCAGCTTCGAAATCAAACTAACGAATCTACTTGATTCAAAATTCTGTAAATTCTGTATTGAAGTGGGCCAATCTGAGTAAAATTAACAAGAAAACAACCCATAAATAAACAAATAACTGTATTTATGGCAGAGCAAAAGTTATTTATACGTGTGTACAATGCACACAATAGGCTCACAAAAACTATTGGCAGCTCATAAAAATGGCATTTATTATATATAGATTGCAAAGACTTGACTAAAGTTTCACTCCATCTCGCTCTTTCTAGTGCTCTTTGTTTAAGTCAATTGTTCCAATTAGAAAATATTTAGAGGCAAAAATGTGAAGAGTTGCAGCATTCATTGGCAGCACTTGGGTGCTAAATCAAAAGGTTGCTCGAGTGCTATTAAACCGCTTTTAGCATTCAGAACAAACAAGGGCTTACCCAAGACACACTCACACACTCACACACACACACACACACATGGCCACACATAGATTTAGCAGACAAACTTGTGAAAATTGGTAAACAATTTATGTGGTCAAATAAAATTGCAGAAGAGCAACAAAAATTGCAAATAGCAAAAGTAGTAGAAGAAGAAGAAGAAGGCGAAAAGCAGCCGCAACAAAAGCAAATTTATTGCAGCTCCACAGAAGCAAAGGGCTGCGATTGCAGCTGACTGAGAGAGAGAGAGAGAGCGTGCGACGTTCAAGGATATAAATTACATGCTTAGCTACTCGTGGTGCTGCTCATATGCAAAAAGTTGCTCCCCTCCTCGCGCATCTGCTGCTCCTGCTTCGCTTCCGCCTCCTCCTTCTCTTTCTATTTTTTTTTTTTCACAGCACTTCGACTGCAGTTGTTGTTGCGGTTCTTGTTGCTGCTGAGATTATGAAATAAATTTCCACATGCCACAAAATTTCGCAGGCGACGGCGCTTTGCCAACCGCAGCCGAAAAATTCAGCAATAACAACAAAAAATAAAGGATCCCAATTTCTAGGTAGAGTTTTGGTCCTTCAGCAATGCAAGGGATTGCTAGCCTAGTTGCTGCTGTTGTTATTGTTGCACTTGAGATGCAAGTAGGCAATATATATATCGATATATATGCTGCTATAAGAGCTGTAGAGGTAAGCTAGGCATGGGCATGACCAGCAGATACTCTATGTGGGAAATTTGTACGAGATCTATTATAATTTTTGAAAGATTTATATTGACGAGGATTTCTCTTTGATACTAAACTACTGTAATATAATATTTTTAATAAATACGTCATTTTTAGCTTATACTTAAATACCTACATACATTCTTGTATACCTATTCAAGCAACTCCATTTACTTTAATCAATTTCCCATCTTTACTGGGTATCCTGCAGTACAACATACGAGATGTAAAAGAAAACATATTATAAATTTACATATGAAAATATTTTTCAATCGCCCAAAGGTCTGCCTGTTGTTCTATTTGGCCAAAAGAACTTTTGATATGTGGATCCCATGGCTAAAGTTTTCACACAGAAAGTTCCACACTTGGTTTGACTATTTCGCTCGTTCTCTCCATCTCTCTCTCACTTTTTCTCTCCTTTCTCCATTTACGCTGAAAATTTGTAAACTTTTTCCCATTGCCATTTTCAATATATGTATATATACAATATATGGCCAGCAAGATAAAAATAAGAGCAAAGTGCAACTTGCTAAGCCTCTCTTCGAAGTTCAATGAAGTGTGCGTGTGTGTGTGTGTGTGTGTGTGTGGATGCGTGGGTTTTTCCCCTCTCTCTTTATTTTTAAGCCTTCCATTTTTTCGAAGAGTATGGAAAAGTTGTTGCTGTTGATGTAAGGCGTTATTATGGGGAAAATTGAAAATGGAGTGGAATCATATTATTTTTGAAAAACGAATATATATATTTTATTTTATTATTTTATTATTATATATATGGAAATTTTGTATTTTTAAAACGGGGTTTTATTTTTGGAAAAATTAAAATTACAGAACAATATTAAAGCAATAAAAAAATGTATTAATTTATTATATTATTCCAACAATAATTATTTTAATTTTTTTTTTTTTTTTTTGACTTTTGATAATCATTTTTATTATTTTATTACATTTTCTCATATTTCCTGGCGAATTAAGAAAGGCAGAAAAAGGGCAACAAATAAAACAAACCAACCATCTAAATTTAGGATAATCTCCAAGAGTAATGCTTCCGCCAAATTATCCACAGGGAAACTTGATAATTTCTGTTGCCCACAAATTTATGTAAGCCAGAAAAAAAAAAATCAACATATGCTTCTTTTCTTCTTCCTCTGCCTTTGCTTCTTCTCCTGCCCGTGCACTTTGAGCTCCATCAGCAGTCCCAATAAAAAATGCAGTGCTCTGGCAGTTGCGCTTGAGCTCACATTCACTTTATCAGCATTAAATTTCATTTTAATTAAATGCAAATTAATTACGAAACTTTATCAGGGTAGGCAAAAAATGAAAATTAAAAAAAAAAACACACACACACACACCCACACACACAGAGCAGACTTTAAGCAATATTATTGCGCAAAAGGCTTGGCAATATTTCTGGAAAATATTCGCCGAAGGACGCACCTTAAGCTAATTAACGCAGCTGCCAGGTGAGCTGAGCGCGGTGCGTTGGAAAATTTTTGAAAAATCTTCGTGCATAAACCACAGCAGAGAGCAGAGCCGAGAACGCTGTGCAAAAAATAGCAGAGAAATGCCTGAAGTAGAAGAAGAATGCGTTGTCCTTGCAGGTGGCAGTAAAAAATTGTTGAAATTCCGGGCCGGACTGGACGCCGGGCGCCTGCTCGCAGCTCATTAAACGCTTGTCAACCCCATTTGGAGGAACCCCCCCAGCCGCTCTAGCTGTTGTTGTTGCTGCAGTTGATGGAGTTTTTGGTGGGGTAGGCGTGGCACGGCTCGGGATAATCCTGGAACAACTTAATGCGCCCCTTGGCCGTGCTAAATAGCTTTCATTATTTACTTTATTTTTCGCATAAAGCGCAACGATAAACAACAACAACAACAACAGCCAGAAAGACAGCGGCAACGGGAAGAAGAACTTTTGGCATTTTTACGGCCAAAAGCACAAAATGCAAGCAAGAAAAAAGAGACAGCAAATGACACAGAGATAGAGATAGAGAGACAGAAATAAAATGAGAGTGAGATATATATAGAGAGAGTGCATATAAATGTTATTTCACAGCGTTTCGCCTGCTTAAACTCTAGTGTAAAATATTCTCAGTTATAATGCCCAAATACCCAGTGAATGTGCAGCAGATCGGGTATGCTAGCGAAAGTAGTATAAGTAACTTTGAATGAACTAACTATAATATGGCAAATTAATTCCAATAGGAATATTTATTTATTTGCATAATTTTGCTCAATTGATAATAGCTAATATGAGATATATACATACTAACTTGTAATACCCTGTACCAATTTCAATACTTTTAGTCGAGAATCAAAATATAATAGATAAGATAGCTATAATAGATATTATCGATTCCAGCAGCTAATTACCGAGCATCTGTCAGTCAAGCATACCCAACCGAAACGCCCCCACGGAAACTAGTTTAGGGGCGCTTTAAAGGTCCCTGGCCTTAGTCGAGCTATAATAAATCATGACGCATATCAATCAGTCAATCAAACATGCCCTAGAAAACTTGTCCACATATTGATTGTGCCCCCACCAAATCAACAACAACAACAACAACAACGGCAGCAGCAGGAACAGCAACAATATATGCCTGACTCAGCATTTTTGGCAGAAGAGAAGAGAGAAAAACTATGCTATGCATTTGACATTCTTCGTCAATGATATAAGCAAAAAAATGAGGAAGGAAGAACTAAGGCGCACAGCAAGACATGTGAAAGGAAATAAAAATATATATAGCTATGAAACATTGTTGCATAGGCCAGAGAGTGCTCTGCCTCTGCCCACCATTTCTCAGTTGTCTAGCAATTCTCAACTTTTGTGCAGCTGACAAGTTTTCCTTGACGGACATTTTCCTTGAAGCGTCGCCCACACACACACACACACACACACACACACCCACACATTAGGAAATTGGCCACGGAATTGCCTAAATTGCTTGATTGAAATGTATTTAGTGATAAGCCAAAACTCAAACATACGTAGATATTCGAG